GACAGATACAATAAGGGCATTTAAGGGACTTTTAAATAACCACATGAATATGCAAGGAATGGAGAGATATGGACCAAGGGCAGGCAGAAAGGATCAGTTTCATTTGATGTCATGCTCGGCACAGCCTCATGGGCTGAAGGGCCAGTTCCTGTGCTGTACAGTTCTGTGTTCTAAGTACAGTACATCTAAATGCCCCCTTTATTCTCAGCACAATTTACTCCTTCAAAGAACTTGGTTCCCTTTCAGAAAATAATGCTGACCCTTCCTGATTACCTTGAGCTTTTCTAAGTTTATTCCAGCTACAACCTCTAGTGATTGAATCTAAAACCTTCCCCATGACAAATGTTAAGCTAACTGGTCGCTCCTTCAGTTTGCTTAGTACTGTTTCAGTTGAGTTTGTAATTTCGTTAAATTTCTCTCACCCTTCAACCTCCTAATTTATAGCTATTATTGGAATATTTTGCATCCTCTGTAGTAAAGACAGAACAAAATATTTGTTCATTTCATTTCTTTATTCTTTATTATTTCCTTTTTATTTGGAGGAAAGATCTTCTGGCTATTCAGGGAGTGCAACAAAGGTTTACCACAACTGATTCTTCGGATGGCAGGATGATATACGAAGAGACTGGTTAGGACTATATTCACTGGAGCTTGGAAGAATGAATAAGATCTTGTAGAAATCTCTAAAACTATAACAGGACTAGACTGGGTAAAGGTAGGAATGATGTTCCTAATGACTGGGAAGTTCAATAACCAGGGGTCACAGTTTAAGGATATGGAGTCATTTATGACTGAGATAAGGAGAAATTTCTTCACCAAGATAGTCGTGAGCCTGTGGAATTCTCTTTCTTCAGACAGCAATTGAGGCTGAACATTTAATGTTTTCAAGCAGGAGTCAGATATAGTTCTTAAGGTCAAAGCGATCAAAGGGTATGGAGAGAAAGCGGGAACAGGGTACCGAGTAGGAAGATCAGCCATGGTCATATTGAATTGCAGAATAGGCTCAAGAGGCCAAATGGACTACATCTACTCCTTTTATTTATGTTTCTATTTATTATTAACTTCCTTTCTCACTCTCTAGGGAACCAGCACTCACTTTACTTACTCTTTCCCTGTTTAAATACCTGTAGCAATGGTTGCTATCCATTTTTACACTCCAGGGTATCTTCCTCTCATACTCTAATTTCTTCCTGCTGATTAACCTTTTAGTCATTCTCTGTCACTCATTATATTCTAATCAATCATGTGACCTGCCGTTCCTTTTTGCACAGTTATTTGCTTTTTCCTTAAGTTTGATGTTTTCCCTTCCTTCTTTTGTTAGCCACAGATGGTAGTTTTTCCCTTTGGAATGTTTACTTCCAGTAGTAATATACTTATCAGTGTATTCCAAATTATTCCTTCAAAGGTCTGCTGCAGCATCTCTATTGATCTGTCCCCTAGCCTAATATATTAGGTCACTTCAGCTTAGTCAGCTTTCACCTCCACATAGTTGTTCTTATTAAAGTTTAAAATGCTAGTCTTAGACCAAATCTTCTCCCCTTCCAACTGGATATTACAATCATAGTATGACTGCTGCTACCTAGGGGAACCTTTATTCTGAGGTAATTAACCGATCCTGTCTCATTGCATAATACCAATTCTAATATAACCTGCTCTCTGGTTGGTTCCAGAAAGTTTCTTAGAGCAGTACAACCTCAAAAGCATTCTATGAACTCCTCATTTAGGCCACCATTACTAATCTGATTCATCCAGTTTATATAAAAAATGGGTTTACAAATGATTATTTTTGTTCTTTTATTACACGTACTATTACTTCTTCATGGACACCTTGTCCTTTATTGTGACTATTGTTAGGAGACCGACAGACTTCTCCCATTAGTGACTTTTCCCCCCTATATTTCCTCATCTACACCCAAACTTTTTCAACTTGATCTCCTTAACCAAGATCATCTTGAACTATGGCACAAATGCCATCCTTGATAAAGCAGTCTCACCATCTTTACCTAGCTTTCTATTTTTGTTGAATGTCACGTACCCTTCATTAATTCAGGGCTCAATACTTGATATCTCTACAACGGCTATCAAATCAATTTTTCAAATAGTGACGTGCCCTTTTAAATAAGGCATCCAGAAGTTGGAGCCTGGAACGTCCTGCAGAGTCATAGAGGCCTACAGCACAGAAAAAGACTCCTCGACCCAGTGAGTACACACTGGTCCAAAACAAACACATAACTATTCTAATCCCATTCTCCATCACTTCACCCATAACCTTGTATACCTTGACATCACAAGCATACATTTAAATACTTCTAAAATGTTATGAGGGTTTCTATCTCTGCCATCCTTACTGACCGGAGTTACAGATTCCCACCAATCTCTGTGTGAAAAATCATTTCTTCACATTCCCTGTAAATAACCTGTTCCTTACCTTAAATCTATGCCCATAGTCACTGATCCATCTGCCAATGGGACAAGTATCCTCTTACCCTGTCTATAGTCCTCATAATTTTATACATCTCAATCATGCCCCTTGGCAGTCTCCTCTGCTCCAAAACAACCCCGGTCTATCTTCATAAAACTCTCTAGTCCTTCCTGGTAAATTTCTTCTGCACTCTCTCCAGTCAATTGCATCCCTCCTATAACGTGGATTCCTGAACTGTACATAATACTCTATTTGAGCCCAGTTCCAGCATAACCTCCCTGCTCTTCACCTCTATGCCTCGGTTAATAAAGGCAAGTATTCCATATGCCTTCTTAACCACTTTATCTGCATGTCCTGTTATCTTAAGGGATTGGTGGATATACACACCAAGACTTCTTGCCTGCCTGTCCATAAAATTTGATATTTTAGCTGTGCAACTGAATCCAATGAGCTGAGAAGAATGTAGCTGCATGAGAAAGCCTGCCCTGCCAACATCTGGAAATACCTCCTACTTTACGGCTCACACAAAGTCTCAGAAAAACAAGATTCCATTTGAAATGTGTAAATGCTCAGTTTTTCCTGCAAATTCATGTCATAACTCATTTATGAAAGCTCAATATTTTCCTTCTTATGACCAAATATTTGTATTAAAATCTTTTAAACAGGCTGAGATGTTTTTAAGCATCAAAATCACAGTAATAAAGAATCACTATCTTTTATTTTTGTTAATTTGTCTTGACTTTTTATATGTTTATGTAAACTGTGATGCTGATTATATAATGAGAATGCATATTTGAGGAGTTGCTTTGCCTGAAAACTAAACAATTGGAAATAGCATTAGTCAGAATACAACAGCTGACCCTGGATTATCTTAACTTCAGTTCCATATATTAATTTATGCTGCTAAACTCAAAATATATTACTGTAATAATTTGTGAAGTACTGACTGAATAAGCAAAAGTATATTCATTTTTCAACCAGCTAAATTGGATAGGAGAGAAACAAAACAGAGTGTGCCGTTGATTGGGTAGAGCAATTTCCTGAAAAATCCAAAATATCTGCTTCCCTGCAATATTCAAATTACCCTCAAATCCTCTTACTTTCATCTTAAATTTTGTACCTGCTACCCAATCTATACCAGCCTGCTCATCAATTCACTGCCAGTTCTTCAACAGTTCAAATTTTAATTTCTTCTCCTCACATTTTAATTCTTCCATGGGTTGACTCTTCCCTATGTTTGGAATCTTCTCTAACAGTACAGTCTCTGTTTGTGTAACACCAACAGTTTGTGCACTTGCTTCTACCTGTCAATGGCAGCTGTACCTGTGCAAATCTCATGCACTTAAATTCCTTTCCTATACCCCTTCTTGACACTTCAAACTCCCATATGAACTATGTCTAACTCCTGGGTACTATACAATTGACACCCCTCCTCTCGCACCTCCACCTGAAAAACCCATTTGATTACCCTGGCTCCCCCTACTAACCCAACATACTAGACCTCACACCTCAAAAGTCATGAACTCTCTGGCTACCCTCTGACTCAATCTGACTTGACCACATGACCTGACTGTCTCTGACTCCCGATTTCCCCCAACCCACTCTCCTCCAACATGGACTGATTAGACCCCATCACTTGACTCGTCTTTGAAACTCTCCTAACATCTCCCCCAACTCTCTGATTGCACTCCTAACTCGGGTCCATCTCCAAAGCCGACATGACTACCCTATTGCCACCATACCTAACTGCCATCTTACTGCCCTACCATTTCAACCACCTCCCAACCCAACCACATGCTATCCTTCCCCCTTACCTACTTATCTCACTCACCCTCATTCACTAACACACTGAAAAGATGGTTAAATGTATCAATGCTTTTTAGTTTGAGAGTGAATAAACGCTTAACAAGATAAAGCAGCCCTAAACCCTAAAAGACAACATGCTTTGACATCCCATGATAATCCAGCATGAGGAAAGAGTTTGATTTTCAATAGGCTCTGCATTTTTAAGAGACCAGGTTTAGTCTCAGCCAGAAATGTGGACCAGCATTGCTGCAAAAAGATGTAAGAGCAGAGTGGCAAACCAACAGTGATTATCACTCCTTAAAAGATTCAGGCCAGTGCATTTTTCAGCAGAATGAATGATGGTCCCCTGCAGTGAGAATTCTGGGCAGTGTTCTATTTTCTAGCTTGAAGGTACAGAACACTGATGTTAGCATCCCTCAATACTGACACCCTGGTTGAGTTAATTTAACTCAGTGCAGGATGAAGAACTTTTGACTCATCTCTGTCTTAAATGGGCAACCTCTTACTCTGAGATTACGTCCTCTGATCCAAGAATCTCCTACAAAAGGAAAGAAAACACTCTACACTCTATGAATTCATCCTATGACTATTTCTGCCAGTTTGATTTTCCCAATCTACATGAAGAGTAAAGTTACCTTTGAATAATGTACTGCCTTTGTTACATGTACTAATCATCTCCTGATTTATTCTCTTCTTTACAGTATAGTACTGGCATCTACATTTTCTAACTGAGCATCAAGAGAATTTCTCAGCAAGTTTAAAAAAATCTTACCTTGAGTGTCTCTCCATCTGCATAAAGGACGTAAACCGTTATTTCTATGTTTTTCTGGACACTCTTTCCACCTCTCTCAAAATCTCCTCGCTCCAATGTGAGATACAAATCGTTTCTGATGTCACCTGCAGGACAGTCACATAACACGCCCAAAAATATCACTGATAAAATTTAACAGGAATAATGTAAAGATGATCGGTGAATATGCAGCTCGTGTACACTTAAACCACAGCTGTGGAGTTAATGTAAACAATGGATCGTATAGGGTTGGTATCTGAAGCATGCGGTCAGTGAGATATATATGCCACTCCTAAGGCTGCAAGTAACCTTTCCTAATAAATTATTGAGCAATCCTACAATTTTCTGCTTTTTAGATCTCCAGTAACTGCATTTTTCTTTCAAACTATTGGTTTATTCCATTTATATAAAAATGGCAAAATGTCTTACATGATTCTCTGCCAGCAATGTGCAAAGAAAAGCATGAAATGATCATGATAGGTGAAGTACTGATGCTACATTACATTGCTGACTCTACCGAACATTATGCTTTTTTACAAATTTACTAAAAATTCAGTCAAGATTGCTGAACTTCCATTGGAAAAATTGCCAAACAAAGTCATGTCATATTTCTGGTTTATGAAGTTACTGGGATAGTTAATAGTAACAATGTTTAGTGTAGGCTGTTCCAAGAATCAAGTGTGCCCCATAATTCCAAAGTACAGCAATCCTTCTAAGTATTTTTGAAAAACCTGTACATAACCCTTCCACTGCAATATAAATAAGATGGTGCTAATTTCTCTACGGGGTAATCTTTCCTTGTCGGAATAAAGAGACAGACAAAGGTAGTTCTTAATGTTGTTCAAAACACTTCATGCTTTATCACCTCTAATCCATACAGCAGGGATATGTAACTCTGAAGTTCTGATTATAATTCTGAATGACTACATGCAATTCCAATGCAGATATGGGAGTTTGAGAAATAACTGCCCAAGATGTACTGCCACTTCTTTTTTATTAGAAGCAAATCTTCAATAATGTAAGCTAAGTTGACAGTATTTCAGCATCCCAAGGGGTCCTTATGGTTCTGTTAGATGTTCAGTCACAGTATACTGAGAGTCAATAATTTGTGCTAGATGGTTGGCAGATCGCTTCTCTATACAAAGAGTCAGAGAGCTGCACAGCACAGAAACAGAACTTTCGGTCCAACTCGCCCACGCCAACCAGATATCCTAATTTAATCCAGTCCCATTTGCCAGCATTTGGCCTATATCCATCTAACCCTCCCTATTCATATACTCATCCAGATGCCTTTTAAATGTTGTAATTGTATTAGCCTCCACCACTTCCTCTGACAGCTCATTTTATACATGCACCACTCTCTACATGAAAAAGTTGCTCCTTAGATCCCTTTTGAATCTTTCCACTCTTACCTGAAACCTATATCTTCTAGTTTAGGACTCCGCTACCCTGGAGAAAAGACCTTGGCTATTCACCCTATCTATGCCCCTCATCTGACATTCCAGGGAAAACAGCCACAACCTATTCTGTCTCTCCCTTTAGCTCAAACACTCTAAACCTGTAAACATCCTTGTAAATCTGTTCAGATTTCAAGTTTTCAAGTTTCACAACATCCTTCCTATGGCAAGGAGACCAGAATTGAACACAGTATGCCAAAAGCGGCCTAACCAATGCGTGTACAGCTGCAGTGTGGAGCTGGAGGATCACAGCAGATCAGGCAGCATCAGAGTAGGAGAGTCAACGTTTCGGGTCTAGACCCTTCATCAGGACTGGCGAGGGGGAAGGGAGCTGGGAGATAAATAGAGGGAAGAGGGGTGGGGCTGGGCAAAGGTAGGTGAGGTAGAATGGCGATAGGTGGATGCAGGTAGGGGAAGTGGGGATTGCTCAGTGGGAAGGGTGCGGTGGATAGGTGGGGAAGGAGTGTCAGGTCAAGGAGCGGGATGAGAGGGAAGGTTGGACATGGGATGAGGCCGGGAGTTGGTGAGATTTTGAAACTGGGGAATTCTATGTTTAGTCCATCAGGCTGTAGGCACCGAGGTGGAAAATGAGGTGTTGTTCCTCCAAGTTGCATGTGGCATCATTGTGACACTGGGAGTGGGAGAGGTTGTTAAAATAGTTAGCAACCGGAAGGTTTTGTTGATTATAGTCTATAGAGTGCAGGTGCTCTGCAAATCTGTCACCGGGTCTACGTTTGGTCTCACCGATGTAGAGGAGGCCACATTGGGAGCGACGGATACAGTAGACCAGGTTGGAGAATGTACAGGTGAACCCCCGTTGGATATGGAAAGTTTGCCTTGGGCCTTGGATGGAGGTGAGAGGGGAGGTGTAGGGGCATGTGTAGCACCTCCTGCGGTTGCAGGGAAAGGTGCCCGGAGTGGTGGGGTTGGTGGGGAGTGTGGAGCGAACAAGGGAGTCGCAGAGTGAGCGGTCCCTATGAAAGTCTGATAGGGGTGGGGAGGGAAAAATCTCTTTGGTAGACGGGTTGGATTGTAGGTGGCAGAAATAGCACAGGATGATGCACTGGAAACGGAGGTTGGTGGGGTGGAATGTGGGGACCAGGGGACTCTGTCTTTATTTTTTGTTGGGGGAAGGGGATTTGAGGGCAGAAGTGGAGGAAATGAAAGAGATGCAGTTGATGTCATTTTCGATCAATGGGGGGGATGTTGCGATCCTTGAAGTAGGAGGACAACTTCCCACCTCCATTGATCAAAAATGCCCTAAACTGCATCTCTTGCGTTTCCTGCACTTCTGCCCTCAAATCCCTCCCCACCCCTGTTTATCTTTCATAGTGACTGCTCACTCCATGACTCCCTCGTCTGCTCCAAACTACCCATCAACCCCACCACACCGGACACCTTTCCCTGCAACTGCAGGAGGTGCTACACATAGTCCTACACCTCCCCTCTCACCTCCACCTGAGGCCCAAGACAAACTGCCTATATCTGACAGGGGTTCACCCGTACATCCTCCAACCTGGTCTACTGTATCTGTTGCCCATGATGTGGCCTCCTCTATATCGGTGAGACCAAGCGCAGACTCGGGGACCATTTTGTGCAGCACCTGCGCTCCATACGTTATAATGGACAACACCTTCCGGTTGCTAACTATTTTAGCTCCTCCTCCTACTTCCTTGGTGACAAGTCCATCCTGGGCCTCCTCCAGTGCCACAATGATGCCACACACAAACTGGAGGAACAATACCTCATATTCCGCCTCGGGAGTATACAGCCTGATGGCCTAAACATAGAATTCACCAGTTTCAAAGTCTCTCCAACCCCTGGCCTTATCCCATGTCCAACCCTCTGTGCCATCCCCACCTCCTTGACCTGACACTACCTGTCCATCTCCTTCCCCACCTATCCGCCCCACCCTACCCAATGAGCAATCCCCAATTCCCCTACCTGCATCCACCTATCGCCATCCCACCTATCTTTGCCCAGCCCGACCCGTCTTCTCTCTCTCTATCTCCCAGCTCCCTTCCCCCCGCCAGTCCTGAAGAAGGGTCTAGGCCCAAAACGTTGATTCTCCGACTCCTCTGATGCTGCGTGACCTGCTGTGATCCTCCAGCTCCACACAGTATCGACTCTGACTCCAGCATCTGCAGTTCCTGCTATCTCCTGTACAGCTGCAACCTGACCTCAAAACTCCTATACTCAATGCACTGACCAATAAAGGCAAATGTACCAAACGCCTTCTTCACTATCCTGTCTACCTGTGACTCTACTTTCAAGCAACTATGAACCTGCCCTCCAAGCTCTCTTTGTTCAGCAACACTCCCCAGGACCTTTCCACTAAGTGTATAAGTCCTGCCCTGGTTTGCCTTTCCAAAATGCAGCACCTCACATTTATATAAATTAAACTCCATCTGCCACTCCTCAGCCTACCAGCCCATCTGATCAAGATCCCATTGTACTCTGAGGTAACCTTCTTGGCAGTCCACAACACCTCCCATTTTGGTGTCATCTACAAACTTACTAACCATACCTCCTGTGTTCACATCCAAATCATTTATATAAATGACAAAAAGCAGTGGACACAGCACTGATCCTTGCATCACACTGCTGGTTACAGGCCTCGAGTCTGAAAAACCATTCACCACCACTCTCTGTCTTCTACCTTTGAGTCAGTTCTGTATTCAAATGGCTAGTTCTCCCTGTTTTCCATGTGATCCAACCTTGCTAACCAAATGGTTTATCAAAAGTAATAAATAGACGGTCATATGTAACTTTGTTTCTGGCTAGTGATCAGCAGGTAAGTTAAACATATTACAAGGATAATACAGCATAATAATGGACTATTTGGTCCAGATACTTTGTTGGTGTTTATATTCTGTGTGATTGAACACAGAGAAAAAGCCTTGGATATTTGTAATTCCATGTCAACACTTTCGTTTTCCAGTGGTTGTCAATTCTTTTGGTTCTTTGTGATTGACAATCGTTTCTACTCAATTTAAAGTAATGAACCAAATGAACAAAATCATCTTTTGTGTACTGATTGCAGTTAATTTAAAGTTCAGTTACTTTTTAATTTGATATTGATGATTCCAGTAATGTAGTTATCAAACCATCTCTGCAGTTCTCTCTGAATATGAATTTGGAAACCCTAAATGCTCAAGAAAATGAAGATACATATTTTTTAGGCTGTCTGAACTGACCTCGGTTTCCAGTGGTCTTTCACTGTTACTTGCTTTACATGGAATTGAGGAACCAGTGAACATGGGAGCTTGCAAGTTTCTGACTTGAACCTTGACACCACATACACAACAGAAAAATATCTCAGTTTCAATTTACTTCTGGTAAAGCAAGGGCCTGAAAGAACTCAGATGGGAAATATACATGGGGTGGGCTCCTGATTCTCAATCTTGCCAAAAAATGGATACAAAACTTCACAACGTGGTATGTTTGAGGAAAGATCCAAAGACTGTTTTAGATTGCTTACATGTCTGGAGAAAAGGAAGGGAGAGTTGGTAGTTCACTGTCAGTGTAACTAAAACGTTATAGTTTCTATAGTGGAGGCTATTTATTTCTTGCTAATTTTCTCCCATTAACACTATAAGTAAACAGTTTCTCAGAAGTTCTGAATGCAACTTTGTTGATGGGTTTACATT